ATGAGTCTTGGATCAGGGAGAGATTTCGTTTTATTCTTATCTAAACACAGGGCTGATAGCTCATATATGAGATTTCAATATGAGATTTCAAAGGACTTTTATTTTGAAACTCCTTACATTTTACATTTACTCGTGGTAGTTATACGTAGTTTGTTTTAAATAATTATTGATCACATTATATAGTACATATTTCTTAATTTAATATGTTTGGTTTGTTTTTATAGGTGCTTTTGTTATTGACCGAGTAAGCGCTGGGATTTTACCGTAATGCTTATAATATTCGCGCACCCCAATATCACGTGCGGGCTGGCTTGACTGTGTTTTCCCAAGTGGAGGCTGGCTTGACCGCAGTCACATGTCTATCTGATGTATTGGTTTCAACATATAAATGGCCTATTACCATTTTAATAAATATGTAAACAATCTATAAACAAGTAGGCTAATTTGGATGGAGAAAATGTAGGCTAATGAAACGTTATCATTACTAAACACAAGTTAATCCGTCTAACAAATGTGTACACTGGTATAGCCTACTACGCCAAAACAATAAAAGTAAGGAAATCCAGACAAAAAATGTGAAAGAATGCGGATTAAACCTACCGTATCCCGTTCTGTGTCATCCTCCGACGAATTGTTCTTTCGCACACCCCGAACACCTGCGCGATGTCCCCAGCGGTGTGGCCCCAACGAAGATGTGCTTCAATAACGTTTAGGGGCAACATGTAAGATGGACGCCCAAGGGTCGCCTCCTCTGTTTCCGAGAGGATTTAAAGTTGGCGGGCAACCTCTTGAAGACTCTCAAACACAGCTGGGTTAACATCCACATCCATGTCGAGCTGAGCCAAGTCCTCTATACATCGTTCCACACGAAACTGGACATAGTCTTTTGGTTCTCCGTTCTCTAAATGGTCCGCTAATGATCGTAAATGATCTCCAATGGCTCTTAAATCAATATCCATAAATAAACCTTACAACTGTGGATAAACCATGGATGTATAAAGATAAGGGCTAAACAGTAAAGCTCCTGCATTCGAATCAGCGCGGTTATCCAGGCGTTAGTAGTAGAGCCCTCTGCCAGAAATGATCACACACTCCTGTAACCAATCCTGCTTCAGACTGAGGTTAGGACCGCCCACCTCATTAGCATACGGACACATAAATACATAAATAAATAAATGTATGTCGCGTAAATGTAGAAATAAATGAAAGATATATAATAACGTGTGTTCTGTTTTATTTTCGACTTTTATTTATTTATTTATACATTGATGTATTTATTTCCATATTTATTTATGCATTTATTCTTTTATTTATTTATTTGTGTATTCATTTCAACATTTATTTATTTCTGTATTTATTTCGTCAATTATTTATTCCTGTATTTATTTATTCCTGTATTTATTTATTTACGTATTTATTTATTCCTGTATTTCTTCATACATTTATTTATTTATACTTAAGTCATGTTCCGTCCTCCATAGTATGCATCACACGCGAAGTGGTCAGAACACAACTTGCTCCATTTTGTCGGTTGCCATCCAACACGATTCACTAAAAAAATCAATTTTTTGCGGATGATTTGGTCTTTGGGAAATGCATATAAAACTCTCCCAGATCCCGCACCGTTCGTACAACAAAAAGCTCAACAATAACCCATGTTAATTCAGTTTTCTTTTCAAAAAACATGTGACCGAGACTGCCGAGTCGGGATATTTGGTCCAGAGACTGTTTGGCCACTAATACGTCACGCACGCGGAGGCTGCTGGGAATTACATGTCAGAAATTCAGACGGCTTTGGGATCAATAAAAAGCTTTTTTTTGGGTGTATTATCTCGATTTAAATAAAATAAAAAATACAGGCAGTCTTAAAAACAACATTTCTATAAAAATGTAGCATATTTGGAAGCTTTGCATTTGATCTTTAAGGTCAAAGTTATTCAAGTTTAGGAGACATGCACTGTGAGGTTAATTTTAGGGTGCATCAGGTGACATGCTCCCTGGAGGTTGCCGATGTCTGTTGTTTAGTTGGTTGGTGTTGTGACTTAGTAAGCTACTGCTGCAGAGGTTGCATCAGACGCCATTAATGACGCACAAATTTGAAGTCCGTCCGTCATTCCGCCAATAACTGTTTCAGGAATTGCGATGTCATCTGGGCCAACCCAGTTGGATTTCTCCTAATTCCTTAGTGAAAAGTTGATCTCAGCAAGTTTGTGAATAGGTTTTAAAATACAACTTTTAGCTAGGAACTTAAAGTGTGATAGAGGGATCCTACTTATGGTAAGATAACAAAATAGTGTGAAAATGCCCCCAGAGCATTATCATTTTAGATTTATTTGGTCAGCCTTGCAACAAGTCATATCACAGTCATATCTTCACCAACACACTGTAGACACTAAGACCCCGGCCACACGAGGACGAAAACGGCTAAACGCATAGGATTAACGCAAACGCAATTGCAAACAAGCTTCCGTCCACACGCAATAGTTATCTGGATAGTGTCTGCCCACACGAGACCGCTCCGTTTAGCTCCAACCGCTGGAGAAGCTGCAGTACATATGCAGGAGCCTGTACGTGGCGCTGTAACTTCCTCCACAAAAGCAGCGAAGAAGCATGGTTGTCATGGTTGCCCTTCTGTTTATTCTCCGCGGTGGGGGCCGAGGGAACCGGGCAGAGTTTTTCGCCAGTCAACGTGTATTAAAGTTTAAATCTTCCGACAAAATTATAAAAGTGCCGGACAAAGGTCTTCTTTGTTATTTATTGAGCTTTAAAACAAATGAATAACGACTCTATATATTATAATAATAAAATACACGGAGCCTCTCTTTTTCCTCCCTCTCTTCGGACAGCGCCAGTGTCTGTTTCATGCAGCAGCTGATCCAGTAATGAGTGACCCGGCCGACAGTAAAAATAAACATATTTATATCTAGTTTAGGTAGTTTGAGAGGTAGGCCTAATTAAAATAGCTAAGGGTGATGATCGGACTTGAAGTGTGTGTTTTACTCCGTTCACCGCCGCATCACAGCGGGAGGAGCTGCAGGTGAGCAGAGCTGCGTGTCTCCGTCCTGTCAGATTAGACTTCACTCACGTTTAGGTCCATATCGAGAGAAAGATAAATAATCTGAATTCAGTGTGCAGTTTACTTTGACGCGGGGGTGAGCAGCAGAGGTGGGGAGAGGCGGGGCTATTGCCTCATCATTATTAGACAATTATCGTTTAGGGCGTACACACGGAGCCGTTGGACCCCCCAGAGCGTTGCGTATGCCGTTCTATCCACCTTGGGACCCGTTATCGTTTACGCAGTCGTTTAGTGCCGTATTCGGTCGTCCTCGTGTGGCTGAACGGTCTATATGACACTAAACAGTAACGCAAACGACCGTTTTCGTCCTCGTGTGGCCGGGGCATAAGAGGTGACTTACCACCATCCAAGGTCATAGGTGGTTTCATCGCTTTCTTCAAAACTCCGTAAAACTGCACTTTAGCAACAAAGTCGTCCCATCTCTTCTTTACTTCTGCTATGTATTTGTGGTTGTCTTTATCCAGGATGCGACGCAGCTCAGACATCACCTACAGAGTGAATAAGTATTAAAATCTGGAACTTTTGTTGAAGAGTAAAAATGGGAAGTCGTTTACTAACATTCTGAAGATCCTTGAAGCATGGATAGGCATCCAGGACCTTTGTGTGCCTGTCCTCCACTTTCAGGACATCACTGTCAATGAACAGTCTTCTTGCTTCAAACTCGAGATCAAGGAGTTGAGAGACAGCATCTTTGTTTTGTTTTTTATTCTTGTACATCTCATGCAGAGTCTTCAAATGCCTGGCCTGTGCTTGCAGACTATCCTTGTCCACTAAAATGAAAAATGAAATGATTATGTGCACATAAGACTGTCAAAAATGGTCTCCCTTTAGAAGCAGCCCTCTTATGGCTGGGTGATGTCTGTAAAAATATTCAGACAACACACAAGTAGAAACGTTTGGAAGACTCAGGACTTACCCTCTTCTTCCTCCCCGGGCTCTGGGTCCTCTGCTGGGTAAAGTGTACCGTGGAGGGCCTTTACCAGCTGCTTTTTGGCTCCCTGGTGTGAGTTGGGAGAACGGATGACCATACTGGATCGCTGGTCCGCGGTGTAATTGGGCAGCCGGCGGCCCGAGCGGGCTACTGTGGAAGCTAATGAAGATATTTTAGATATTTATTTGTCCTTTCAAAAATGCATTTTGTGCCTTACCACAATTGTCAAACAATAAATCAGAAAACGACAATGACATGCTCACATAACTATATATAGCTGCCTTAAAGGTTAAAATGTTCTCTACAAAATGAATGACAGAAAATGACCATAATATCTCTGTCCATTACAAACAACTTGTTGCACATGATGTTATGCATTCAGCAATGTGTGGATATGCCTTTCGAGTAGAGAACCATATAAATGGAAATTAAATTGCAATTCTACTTACATGTACTTTCATTTTCATCAGAACTGGTAAGAGTCTGATCCAAAATAATTGTTGATCCACCTGCGTCACTTGAGTCAGCATCATAATCTTTTCCTGAGTCACTTGCTGACAAGTCAAGGCAACCCCTCTTCTTTGGACAGCCCCTCTCTTGTGCAGGCCCTTGCCTCTTTTGCGGAGACTTTACGTTCAGAAGCCTCTTTTTAAGTTTATTGTGAATGGTTGTCTGTGGCAAATAACAAAGAATAACTTTATAAGAATTACTTAATCATGTTGATGAAGCCTTGACTTTTTTTTCAAAATGTTAAGAGATGACAGTGAATTCAAATAATTATGAAGTACTTCACAATCAACAAAGTGCAAGAAATAAACAGCCACACATTTTAATGATGTTTCACAGCTTCATCTTTGTCTTGTAACATGGGATAATACTCCACTACTTTCTTAGCCATGGCTGTGAGTTCAGGGTTGGAAGGGTACTGAAGCTCTTCTCTTTGTGGACTTGCTCTCAGGATGGAAATCATGCTGGTGAGTGTGTTCCTCACTAGCCTGCAACTCAACTCCTTGGACATTACACATTCCCCCTCTCTGCCTGTGCGGGCCATCTCAAAGTAATGTCTACGAGCTTGTTCCAACTCACTGTCCGTGTAGATCACATACTCTGGTGGACTAGGTAGCTGTAGGGTCATCTTTGGGCATTTTCTCCAAAGGAGTGGATGTTGGGGGGATGTTTTCTACAAGGTGGAGTTCCTGTTTCAGAAGGGCCATCTTTATCTTGTAAGATAGGATTCTCGTCCTACAACAGCAGATAATGTCAAACAGTCAAAGTCAAACAATGGCGACAATCTGAAATAACATGTCTTGTGCAACTTTGTTTTTAGACCAAAGTAGGTAACCATTTACCTCTGGGCTGATGAAAGACCACACTCTTTTTCTCCTAAGAAAGTGTTCTGGCCCAGGAAAAAGGTCTCTCAAATCATCACGAGTGAGGGAGTGCATCAACAACTCATCGATGTTAGCAGCTATTAGGACAGCAGCATCATTACCAACATTTTACAATCCCAAATAATTATTTATCGTTTTGATTCAAACACAAATGACATACCCTTAAAAATTGACACTGTAACATCATCCAGTTTATCCATTGTCCCATCTATAACCTGGTAGGAAGAAAAAATATTAATTAATTATCATAATTTGATTTCAAACAGCTTTACAAACATGTGATCGAATATTACAGTGAATACAATCATTCCTTGTGGTTTAAGCTCTTAAATGCTTTTCATTTTATGTTTTTATCTGCTACAGAGGCTGAAAAATAATGGTTTTAATCAGTGTGCGAAATACCCGTCAATATTCGGGGGGTCCCATCTCCCGATTGTTGCGCAACACTGACATAGGAGGTTGCATTGGCTAAAGTTGTTTGGATGCACGTTGTTTTATATTACAGGGTTTCTCAACGGGGGGGGGGGGGCGCTGGGAACGAACACGGGGCGTCACAACTTCGCTTGTAGTAGTGGTCATTATTTTGAACTTTTTAAACTTTCATGGTTTTCAAATATTTTCGGTACAAAAATAGGATAACTGAAATAAAAAGCCTATCTTCATATGGGTTTCTTACCCTTCTATCATCTCATCTACTTTCTACTTTATGCTCAGTACCGTCATGATTGCTATAGTAACGCCGATAAACAAATCCACCTCATCGCAGTAGAGTGGTCCTTTCCGAAACTATTTCGCCCTCCCCTGACTTCCACTGGTTGGTTTGCGGGACATGCAAAGCAAGCGGTGGATGGGGCATTACACTAAGCAACATGAATCTCATTCATATTACATAGTAAGGCAACATAAGACGTGAATAAAGCTAACTCTGCTTAGCATGCTAATTGTAAACAATAGAACGTGCGCATTACATGTAGACCACTGCAACGTCGCTCATTACGTCTGCGAACCGATAAACACTATGCTTGTTTGAGACAAGCGAGACCTGCGCAGTTGCGATCAACGTCTTGCTAATGCGTTGCATGATGGTTAGTCATTTTGTCCGACTTGCTCTGGAGGCTCGCCAACATGAGACGTTGAAATCTCGCGGGACAAAGCCGCCACAGCCTTTAGCGAGGCGGCGCAGTTCCTCATCACGGGCTGCGGAAGAGAAATGCTTGATGGGAAACGACTCACTGGTATCTCGAGCTGAGCGCTCATTGGTGGTTTTTACCCCGTGCTGCTGATGAAGCTCTCCAATTGGCTCGGCAAAAGTTTGTTGTTGTTTTGTGTCAGTTTTACGTCGCCACATCCATTCACATTTTTCATCATTGTTCCACAATGTTTATCACCATGAAATTAATATCTATATATTTTATACTATACTTGCACTGCTTACCGTTTTCATACTTTATATATCTTAGCATTATTCATACACACTGTTCACAATGCTCACAGGCTGCTGTGTATATCTAGTGTATTCATACCCCTCACTGTTTATTCATCATTCAATTCATTCTATATTTTATTCTGTAGATTGTGAACATTACTTTTCACTTTACTGCTTGTTGCACCTGGTTAGAAGCTAAACTGCATTTTGTTGTCTCAGTACCTGTAATATGTGCAATAACAATAAAGTTGAATCTAATCTTGAGCAGGAACAAATGTATTTACTTAGTACATATCTGACATTAACGATGAAACACATGTGTGCATTCTTTATAAATGCAAACTGGTCAAGACCACTGATGGAAGTAATTTTGAAAATTAATAAGTGGTTCGGTCTTTTACATGTAGGATTCAACCCCCCTTGTATTGATTTGTTTTTAAATGAACAGACACTTGAGTCATTCATTTGTAGTGAGGTGTTATTTCTAGCAATTCTCTTAAAGTTAAACCAAATCATTAAAATAAAATCTATTGTAATGTAATGATTTGGTTTAACCGGTTTAACCTTATTTATTGAATACATCATTTAAAATGGCAAGAATAAATCAAATTACATCCATGTTGTACACATCATAAAGCTTAAAGTGGCAGCTAAAGAATTATATTTACATCTAACAACACAGCAGCAGGTCAGTGTTCAATTAATGCTCATTAAGCTTCATGTGTGCGGATCTGAAGGGACTGACCATTTGTAGCCTGTCCACCTATCAGTTTTGCAAACATTAAGAGGGAGGAGCATTTCTAATTATGGAACCCAGTCACTGGTGTGGTTCATCATCATGACTCAATTAACAAACCTATATAAAGCAATGGAGATCACCTTTGTCTACAGTGGGTAAAATGGAATTTGTGGTGCTGCGTGACAAACAGGGAGACATCACTGTAAGAGTCTCACAAGAAATTTCCCAAAGACTACAAAATGGTGAGTAAACAACTAAATTGCATTCCAACAATCTGGATATGACTTTAAATGATGTAAATTATTTTTCAGATAACAGTTTAGCAGCTGCACTTATGCAGCAAGCAAGGGCTGCAACAAATGCACAAGGTAATCTATCATTTAAATCAAAAATGGTATTCCCTTTTAATGCAAATCAAACAAATGACACATTAATGTTTAATTTTCTCTCAATCACAGTCCCTTTAGTTCTGTCTTCAGATGGTAGACCTGCTCCTGAAAGGCCTGCTCCTGAAAGGCCTGCTCCTGAAAGCCCTGCTCCTGAAAGCCCTGCTCCATCCCAAGCTGGCACTCCTCACCTGGCATCCCCCTCCAGCCGGTCAGAACACCTTGAGGCAACACAAGGTACAGTAACTAAGACAGAGTTGCCAACTTTGGGTACCTGGCTGGAGTGAGATTTTGGTATCATGGGTTTGATTACACATATGCGCACGAAATGACTGCTATCGTGTCAGCAGCGAGACCTTAGCATATATATGTGATATATATACAAATACATAATATTGGACACAGACTATAAAGGGCACACAGTTTCATTCACTAATGAAAGTCAAACACATGTTTGTTTTCCACTGTTTTATTGTGTGCCTGTCGCGATAAGCAATTCATTGACTTATCGTACGATAAATAAAAATGAACTCGATAAATTGCCATTTACATGAGGATGTGACTAGCAGTTTGAAAGGATGTACTTGAATTATTATTATATATTATCATTATGTCAGTGGTCTAAAATGGTCATACAACGGTGCCGACAATATTATCGTTTATCGCAATAATTTCCGGGAAAATTAATCCAACCAAATTAATTATCGTGAGATGCCTATACATGAAACACACACACACAACTAATCTACAGACTTACTCCAAACTGCCAAATATGTTAATTAACACACTCTCACTCTCATATACTCTTTGACTATATTTTGGCCTAGTAGAACAATAAGCAGCAGACTTTTACTTTTTATAATTTCTACTGGATCTTAGATCTGCCCATGCGCAATACGGGTCGGCAGTTGCGGCTCCAGAGTATTTTTGTTGGGTTTTCCATAGTAGGGCTAACCCATACAGTGGTGGGGCTCAAGTCAATATTTGCAATGTAATTACATACCATATTAGAACATGTTAGAGCATGATTTAACAATAAATAGGTTATATATACAGTATAAAATACCACGTACTGTCCGCCCTCCCATGCCACCCTGGCATGACCTCTTGCCCCCCCCCTTTGCCACCCCATGTAAAATGTTCTAGAATCGCCACTGCCCAGGGATACACATTCAGGTTTGCCAAGGTATCAGGTCGAACCTACTCAAAACTTTTGTCAAAAGTAGAAACCAATTTGGCTTAAAAAATAACCTAGTCCTCTGTATCATCCATAATTTCCACATTTTCCTTGCAGTCAGGATTTATCTATTTTAATAAGAAGGGACCTTGGAGACAAAGCGTCCCCTTGACAGTGAAACGCCACGCGTGAGGTTTAGATTATTTCCCTGTCTCAATCCAAATTGAACTGTATGAAATAAAAAGGCACATTTGTCTTGTAGTAAATAAAAAGGGCGACCTGGAGCCAATCCTGCAATTTCCCCACAGGTGAAAGAGTTGACATGCTGAAAACCCAACCCCTGCAGGGGGGTCTGGGGAGATTCTCCCCCAGGACATTTTTTGAAATACTAACATAAAATACACATTCTGGTACTCTCTTGAGAAGAAAAATGAATACATCTATCACTACACGACATATTTAAAAAAATGAATGCCATTTTAGTTTTTTGTTACTTTGTTCTGAAAGCTGAACCTGCTGCTCCTCACAGAGAGAAGAGGGAAGAGGCTGTGAATGACTTTACATTGTGGATAAGGGTGGATGCCCCCATTGTTCTGTGTGTCAAAATGAAAGACAGCCCACACACACCTATCAATCATCAAACCGTGGGGTCTTATTTCATTACGTACGTAATGTTGTATCGATGTATAGAGATGTACTACAGCAAAAGTATTCTCCGTCGGGACTTCCTGCAACAACACATCGCCGTTATCTTGATTCTGATTGGTCAGAAGACATTATCAAAGATGTTCTATTGAGTAGGCGATCACTACGTGACAAAAGTTTTCAAAACCGTTTCTAGTCTGCGGTATTCTTGTTTTTGGCGTGAGAATAGTTTGGGCAGCGTGAGAGCGTGAGATTGAGAGTGAAAGCGTGTGTCACACGCCAGATGCGTGAGAGTTGGCCACCCTGACTAAGATGAGGATCTAAACAGCAAATGCTATTTGTTTGAGTTACTAACACTTGTGTCTTAACAGATTTCACACAACACCATATTGCTGCTTTTGAACCTGACAAAAACACACCAACACGTGTACTATCGCTCTAAACCCGGTTTTTATAAAATTATACAACGGCAGTTCAGCAAGGAGGGATACAGTTTCTCCTCAGACAAAATCAGAAAAAAATTGAACACCCTTTTGACCACATACAAAAGGGCCAAGGACCGTTGTACCTCAACAGGAGAGGGGAACATAAAGTGGGAATATTATGGGGTAAGAAGTTTGTTCTTGCACATCTAGTTGGTAAAAGCAACATTTCCTTTTTAACAATTCTGCAATTCCACAGATAATGGACAACCTGTTTGGGAGCTGCGGTGTTGGGAGCGCACCACCAGGCACTGTTGTTTCCACCCCTCTAATTCCCACTGCCTCACAACCATCCACCACACTGCCGTGTGCCTCTGAGGGCCAGCCTGGTCCCTCCATGACCCTGCCCACCACACTGCCGTGTGCCTCTGAGGGCCAGCCTGGTCCCTCCATGACCCTGCCCACCACACTGCCGTGTGCCTCTGAGGGCCAGCCTGGTCCCTCCATGACCCTGGAGACACTGGTGCGGCCAGAACAGGAGTGCCGGAGTATAGGCTGAAGGAGAGAAATCGGAGGAGGTTCGAAGCAAAAATGCTGACAGCGATGGGAGAAGTTATTACCCAATTAAAGTGCATTGGGAGCCAACAAGAGCGCATCATTGAGCTATTGCAGGACAAGCCCAATATGCCATAATTTCCCCCACACTGGGTATTCCCAAGCACCCAGGAAGTGCGCTGGAGTCTGATGAGAATATTCGTTGTGGCCAAACGGCGGTACTACACTTCCTTTCGGTTGCTGGGCCTGGAAACACTTTTTCCCATTGACTTACATTGGGAAAGAGTGGTATGTAACTCGTTGGATTTTCATTTAATTTCAAACCTTTATTTATACAGATAAATCCCATTTGAGATCATTGATCTCTTTTTCAAGGGAGACCTGCTCAAGTAGTTCCACATGAAACATAAAAACAAATAGAACAACAAAAGGACATCATATAGCATCATTTACATAATTATCCACATAAACAGGTACCAATAGCTTCCGATTGACTAGCATCCAACTGAGCTTTAAAAACATTTAGTGGCACCAGATTGTTCAATTTCCAGGATAATTTTTTTTTAAACTAAATAAACAACCCAGTGTGAACACTTGTATAGCCCTTATTAAAAACTTTCGTTCCTCAAGTTGTAAAAATGTGCTAATAACGTTATTCTGAGAGTTATTTCCCTCTGCATTATGAACGCGCATCTAACCCACGGGACCGCACCG